TATATATATATATATATATATATATATAGTTAGAGAAAAGTAGAATTAAAAGAAAGTAGAAGTTGGTGAATGAATGAAGATAAGAAAAGAAAAAGGGTGAGACAAGTCAGTAAATCACGCCGCTTACTAACCACCGAGTAGTGCTGCTGCTTCCTCATAAATTAAATGCTTGTTCCATCCACACGCTGCAAGCAATTAATCTGCAACATTTTTCTCTGTTTTTTCTCCCGGCAAAGCGTTAATCTCACTCAGTACTCATTCTTCCCTCTACCACTGTGCTGCATGTATATGATATATGAATATGTGCGGTAAATGATGTTATCTACTTCTACTTTGCCTCTATACATTAATTGCACTTCTCATTATCACTTCAACTGCTTCAATTCATTATCACTCAAAGAATGTTTTTCCTTCAGTTTTATCATCCCATCAATGCATCCAAATATTCTCTTTACTTCCTTCCTCACAAAAATCTGACTTTACCCTCTGTGTTTCACACTACCACCGATTCATCATCACTTTGATTAACAAGTTCAAATAAAGTAAATGTCCTACTTTACTTAATTCTATATACTAAGATAGCATGGTGGAAGCATATCCATTTTTTTAAGACAAGGAATCTCCCCATTTTGGGACTTTTTCCTTTCCTTTTCTTCAATTTAACCGGGAATTGAGATGGTATGTCTCTCCCTTTAATTCATCAGGCCCAGCAACCACACGTTCAGAACAAAGAAAGCTACAAGTATAACTAATGAAACAGAGAAATGTGGTGACAGCCTTTTAGCAGGATGAAGCATTGAGCCTGAGCATAATCAATAAGGTTACGTGCCGCACATAAATCCTAGGAAGTTTGCAGGTTTTGACAAGTTTCGAGTAATTTTAGTTTTCCCTCACTTTTATCTTCTCTTTACTTCCCAGCATTTCGTACGACTATTTAAACTCTCAAGCTCAAACCAGCTTCACACCAAACATTTACTACTACCTCCAATACTCAAGATAAACTCACTTTTCCTCCATGTTCATTAACTAGCACTCCGTTTATCCGATGGCTTGCTTCTCTTGTACTTAAACAAGCGCGCTTCTTTCTTCAGCTTTTGCAGGTTAAGCAGATTGAGAGCACTTCAGAAATCAGAATGAAAGTTGGGTTTAAAAGTGCCAAAGCTAGAAGCTTTTGCACGGTCTCTGTTGCCTCGCTCTTTGCCATGCTTTTAGGTAACACCTTGACCTTAATGACACATATTATACAGTCTTTGTGCCATTGCAACTGCAATAACCTCCTCGAGTCGATGTTCAAGAAAAGCTGTAGTCTGAGTCACTCACCCATTGACTTGTTTAATGGTTTGGCTTTGATACAATGTACTAATTGCTAAGCTTCTAGATTGATTGGAGTAGTTGTTTCATGTAAGATTAACTCCTTCTGTTTCACACCAATCCCTTGTAAAAAAAATTGAATTTTCATATATGGTGAGTTGAGCAACTGACATTCTTATTTGCACTGCAGTAAGGGATGTGATAATTCACAGGGAAGGTGAGAGTGACGCAGGCATTGCAGAGATGTTTTTCTCCAAAGGAAACCGAACAGTAATCACCTCACGAAAACTGCTGCAATCTGCTGGTACGAGAACCCTTTACAAGCATGTTGTAGTAATAAAATAGAATTGCAGCACTAAAATTATGGTGCATTGCAGATGATGGGGGCTTGAACCATATAGGAACGGTGTGCTCAAAGGAGGAGATAGTGATATATCAGGGGGAAGTGCCCCCTCTTCCCACGGGGATTCCTTCGTACACAGTTCAAATAATGAACATGTGCGCCAGTGATTGCGACATAGCAAACATACGCCTCCACTGTGGGTGGTTCAGTTCAGCACGTTTGATAAACCCCAAAGTGTTTCGCAGAGTGGGATACGATGATTGCCTAGTCAATGATGGAAAACCTCTTGCCTCAGGAAAAACCGTCTCCTTTCAATATTCCAACACTTTTCGCTACCCTCTCTCCGTTTCATCTGTTGTTTGCTCCTCATGAGTAACGACCATCAGCCACCATGTACTTGTAACTTGGAACACCCGTTAAACACACATTACAGTCTACAAGAGAAGAGGAGAAGGATGATTTCATGGAGGTTTTTTACCTCCCTAGGTACACAAAAGCCTTTTTTTTTTCTTTACAAATGGTACAGAAAGCTAGACTAGTAATTGATTCAGCTACTGTATTTTGAAAAACAACATTAAATGGTCATCTTTTAATTGGTTCAGCAATTAAATCTTCAACCGAATCACATAAGATTGTTGGTATGGGAATTTTAGAACATTAAACGGTTGAAACAAAAACTAAATAACAAAATCTAGACATTTAAGAAAAAAAAAAGGTGTTTATCTTGCATGATGTTATAACAATATAAGGATGGTGATACAATAATGGGAGGTCTTAGTATCCATAATCGTAAGAAAATTCAGAGACACCAACCATTGCAGAGAGGACTTGCGAGACAACGTAGAGGGAACCCCCGAAAAGAGCAATAATGAAAATGGCGGAAACGGGATTCCTGAGAAGGTCGAGTATGGGGCGGAAGATGGTGTAAAGAGCACCTGTGCTGACGGTGAGAGCGTAAAGCCCATATCTCCTGACGTTGTCCCAAAACTCTTCCACCAGTGGGCCTTCAGGGCCCAATGCCAAAGCCTTCTCCTCAGTCAGAATCACCGCCAGAATCCCCACACACACCGCTCCCATTATCACAACACTGGAATTCGAAACAGCCTTCTGATCTCTCAGTACAACCACGCTCCGTCTATGCTCTTCGCTTCCTCTGTTTTCTCTGAGACTGAGTGCGAATTTGGAAGGTGGATGCTTTAAGCTTTTGCCATACGACGATACTACCAGAAATTTGATGGGTTTGACGCACAGTGGAGGGTTTGAGGAAGAAATTGGAATGTGAAGCTCTGGTCTCAATTTCACACTGTTCATCTTCTCACACTATGTTACCAAACTCAACGAAGTGTCGAATTATCTTATCCCCGCTTACTCATATTTCTATTTGATACCTTATCTTCCAATTGCCAACTGTGTGGTGCATCGCTTCTTACAGATTTTATCTGCCAAGTTTCTAAGCTAGTCTGGAGTTGATATAACTTCAGATAAAAACAAAGATAGCTTAAATATTCACCATAATAAATATTAATGTATTTTATTTTTAATATAATAAAACAATTATAATAGTTTAAGTTTTGTAAACTTTATTAATATTTAAAATTTTGACATTTCAATTATACTTATATTTCAAAATTTATCAATAACGTAAGGGCCTGAAAAATGTAGGGCTATTGGGCCTTAGGTTGAGGAAGCCAGACCCGTAAAAGAAAATAAAAAATTAAGGACATCATGATCTTAGAAAGGACCTTTCAAAATTTGAGTTCATTAGTCAACTTTTCCTGCTCTCTCTAGAACTTTTATTTTTCCTAACCTTGCTCTGTCTTCTGTCTACATTTCCAGCTCATTGAACCGTAGGATTTTGATTTAGGTGCTGCCCAAGCGTCCGCGGCGTAGAGGGCTCCATTTCTACCGAACGTTTTCTTCATTTCGACTGGTAAGCCGTTTTCTCCTTCTCCTCCACTGTCTTTGAATCTAGGGCACGCCACTTTACTGGTTGCATGCAACTGGTAGCTTTTTCCTTTTGTTTCCTCTGTTCATTCTAGCTCTAAGAGCTGCTTTTGTCACCGATGTGGTGTCTTGTAGGGTTTGGTCAGGTCCTTGCTGTGTGGGACACTGTTAGAGCGTTCTAGTGGGCTCTACTGCTCAACTCCAAGGTAAGGGGAGCTAAGATGCGTTTTAAATTACTTGCATGAGATGTATGTACGTTGAGTTTTGTACTGTTGTGTTGTTGGCATTGCGTTTGATGTGGGAAAATTAGTTGTATGTGTTGGACTGTACATTTGTGAAACTGGAATGTGAGGATTGTGAACTGTTATGGTTTCTTTAAATTTTGTAATTTATCATGTTAGGAATGCTTTGGATGAGAATTTGTGGTAATACTGATAAAATAGAAAACTTAGTGTTCTAGTAGAGTTCTAGGTCACTTTAAGAGGAAGTGAGGTGGTGATTTTGGGCATTGGAGGTTTTGAGTACAATTAGGTAGCTCAAATAGGCTAATTGTGACTTGTTAGGAATCTCAAAATGGTCTAAAACGAGTTACAAGTAGTAGAATTGGATTTGGGTCCCTAAGTTGTTGATTTTAGGGTTCTATATTGAGTCTAAATCACTTTAGAATTGTAGTATGAACATTTATAATCATCTAGACAAGTCTAATTAGTTGTAATACAGGAATTAGGAGTGTTAGAAGTTGATAAAAAGGGCCTAGAATTGGTAAAGGTGTGTGAGTTGCATGATTATGCAGAAATTGCGTTTTGCAAATCATGCAGACTCGCTATGCGAGCTGTCTCGCATAGCGAGACCCTGTAGAGGGTGCTTACTGTCTGAGTCATTCGCTGTGCGAGCTGGTGCACTGTGCGAGCTGGTGCGCTATGCGAATGACCAGAGGGTGTTGCTCTGTGTTTGTGGATCCGCTTGGCGAATCCTGTCGCTATGCGACTGGTGGTGGTCTGGAACCACTGCCCATTTAATTTGAAAGGCGAGTGGGGCGCATAGCGAGAGTTTTAGGAGGGTTGGTCTCTGTCTGGGCTCTCGCATAGCGACATGGGTGCTCTATGCGAGAGGTTGAGAGTCTGATGCACGCCACGAGTTAATTCGCATGACGAATTAGGGGGTGTGCTGTGCGAGACCATCCTGTCTCGCCTTGCGAATAAGGTGCGCTGTGCGAACCCTTTTAGTCCAGTCTTCTCTTTTGCTCTTGCTTTGGGTGAACCAAGTGTGTGGAATGATTGAAATGCATAATATGATGGTAGTAATGTTATTGAACTGATAGTATGTGATGGTATGAAACATGTTTGGTGGTTAAATGTACCAAGTATGGTTGATGGACGTAATTCCATGGATCTCTAAGGAGGTTACATGGTGGTGCCCTATAGTGTTGGACGTAATTTCATGATCTTCAAGGAGAAGATTCATGGTGGTGCCCCTAGTGTTTAGAATTACTCACATGGTAGCTCAGTCTTGGGGGGTTTCCTGACGGTCCAATGGTCTTTCATTCTCAAGTAGAGAGGATTGATCCATGTGGGCCAATGGTCTTTCATTCTCAAGTAGAGAGGATTGATCCATGTGATGAGGAGTAGCAGGAGCTCCAATGATTGTCGTATTTATTTACTAAGCATAAAATTAATTTAATATGCAACTAAAATTTTATTAATAAGTATTATTTGATTTTTTTTAAATTTAATAATAATTAAATATTTTATCTAAACACAACAATTAAAGTTCACTAAATTTGAATGGCCTAACTCATACAAAATATTTGAAAAATTAATATATTTGAATCTTGAAAATTTGTGAAATCTCCTGTGGTAAAAGTTTTATTTAGGGAAAATTATTTACCGGAAAAGAGATCTTTATAGTGATTTCTCTTGTACCTGCCTTTAAGAAAAACAACACTAAATTGTTTCTGAAAAGATGAAAAAAAACAGTTTTTAAAGTAATTTACTACATTTTAAAAATGATAATTAGAAACTATTTTATTAAAGGAACACTTTGTTCTGAAAAAAAAATAAAATAAAAGAGAGACAATGGCAAATGAGGCATCTTTATTCAAAATCAGAATAGAATAAATATAAAGCAATTGTAACTTACACTTAGACTACGGTCACGCACGGCTTTTTACATCATGGGAGCTCTTTTTTTTTAGGCTTAATTACCTACTTAGTCCCCATGTTCAGAGATAATTTGCTGTTTAGTACCCGGTTTTAAAAATGTAGGCATTTGATACCTATGTTTTGAAATTTGTATCAATTGAATCCTACCCACTTAACGCCGTTATAAATCTAACGTTTTTTCTGACTGTGTATGTGATTTGTGGACGAGCGGTTATGGACGAGCGTTCGCTTCGTTGGACGAGCGTCCTCTTCTGCCTGACTGGGCGTTCGCTTCGTTGGACGACCGTCCTCGTCGCTCGTCCACAAATCACATACATAGTCAGAAAAACGTTAGATTTATAACGGCGTTAAGTGGGTAGGATTCAATTGATACAAATTTCAAAACATAGGTATCAAATGCCTACATTTTTAAAACCGGGTACTAAACAGCAAATTACCTCCGAACATGGGGACTAAGTAGGTAATTAAGCCTTTTTTTTATTATTATAATAATAATAATATAGGAGACACTGGTAATAATAGTAGATATTTGCAGAACAAAGAAATTTGAAGCTAAATCACGTGTAGCTTTACCACAAAATAGGAAATCCTAAAAAAAAATTGTTGCTTCATTCGAATATAAGTGGTACAATTTGTGCTACAACAACAGGCACTGTCACACGTCCTCTCATCAATCACGCACAATTTATTGAGAACCTAGTAGACCCTAATAAAAAGAAACATAGGACCTGCTGGAACAAGAAAGCTGAGGTCCATGTGGTAAATTACAAAATGTGTAACTTTTTTCTATCTAAATAGGAGGAGCAGATCAAAAGGGTCTATATACATTAAAAAATCTGTTCACTACCAAAATTGGACGACTCCAGTATGCAAAAATATTCACAAGGAGCCAAAGCACCGTGATTGAAGTAATCATCTCCCTTATAATATCATAAAATGACCTCGAGAGGAAACAATATGAAAAAATTCAATTTCAACGCCTCACCAATTATGCAACTGAGAAGTAATGCTTTTCTCAACAGGATGATATTGGGTGTGCATGTATCTCCTAGCTTTCACAGAACCTGGCTGCTCAAGCCACTTGTCATATAAGCCTTTAATAATGGGATTGTCAAATGGTGATGCTGCCAAAACCTAGTGTATAAAGAAACAATGAATTCCGAATTAAAATTCTGATTGCAGAAAAGTGAAGAAAAAACAAACTCAACAAAGACTACTCACAATAAAAGGTGCAAAACAAAAAAAGGAAGGTAAAAACCTAATGGCAAAGTGCCAAAGGGCAAGAAGCAAATATGGTAGAGCAGAGATCACCAATATGGATACAGAATTTTGTCCTACAAAAATCTATATGTTTACGCTTTTGATGCTCCCACTAATGC